GCCATATACACATAAAGTGGCAGGTTCGAATCCAGCCCAGGCCCGCCAAACAATGATGGCTGCAACCAAAAAAAGAATAACCAGGTGTTGTGTGGGTGCCTGTAGTCCCAGCTACTTGGGAGGGTGAGGCAAGAGAATCGCTTAAGCCCAAGAGTTTGAGGTTGTGAGTTGTGACAACATGGCACTCTGCCAAGGATGGTAAGACTCTGTCTCAAAAAAATATATATATATTATTTGTTGAATGAGTGAACAAATGACAAAGCAGAAGGATTATCAGAGACCTAGACCTAGAGGAATTAAGGGAGACTAAGGGACCCTACAGAGATGGAGGAGGCTGGCATTAGTGGGGCAATTCCCAGAAGATGGTGGACAGGGGCAGCTCACTCCTTGTACCCTGTGGTTCTGCAGTTTTTGAAGGCTGTCTCCCACCCAGGCCTGTCCAATCCCAAACAGGACTCAGGAAGCATCTCTGGGGAAGAAGGCTGGGCCTAAGTGGAGCCACTAGATGCTGAATTATTTCCCAAAGGCTGCTGACCAGATACCCCCTTTGCCCCAGGAGGGATTGGAAAACAAGTCTCATGCTCACTAAGTAATGACAGAGAGTCTCTGGGAAAGGGGCCACTGAGGGCCAGCTGGGAACAGTGCTACTGGAGGCTGCTATCCGCAGGTTGACTGACCCCTGCTCCTCATGTGCCCCAGTTGGGTGCTAAAGTGAGAAAAACTGGATACCTAGAATCTAACTGTACCCCAGAGTCCACACTGGGCTGGAGGCTTAGCCTGTGAGGGGAGATGGGAGGAGGTGAACTGGGGAAGGGCAGATGGGGAGAAAACAAGAAGGGTTAAGGACTCCACTGTTGCCCATTTTTGAGAAGGGACAAGCCCAGCTCCTAGGAGAAAGCCCACCCTCATCTCTTTGGCCCCTGTGAACCTAGACCAGAATTCCTGAAAGTGGCCACTCTTCCTTCAGGCTGGGCTTTGGGACAACATTATTGCAAACACCAACCGGCCCTGACCACCAATAGCCCTCCAGGCAGGCGGGCCTGGGATAGACAGCAGTATAGACACAGTCTCTGTGGAGATTGCCTTCAGCTTTTCTTCTTTGAAGCCCCTTGTGGACGATAGGTATCAGGTGTCTCAACCAACAACACCAGGGTCCCCCACCAGTTCAGGGCCCTCTAGTGGTCTAGCAATAAGGTCAAGTGCCTCAGCAAGGCCTTCAAGGCCTTTTGGGACTGCCCCACTCCCAGCCTAAGTCTCAAACACACCGGAAGCTTACACTGCCAGGCTGTACTGGTCCCACTTCTGGCAATGTCCCCTCTCCTTCACTTGCTCAGTTCCTTGATTGTCCTTGCAGATTACCTTCATATATTACCTTCTCAGGAAGCAATTCTCCATCTCAGTCCCCTCTGTACCCCCATCCCTGGGGATTTTGCAGTCCTCTCCCGGACCCCATAGCCACTGTGCTTCTCTGGGCCACACAAGTACCTGAAGGCAATTAAATTCCCTTCCAAGCATTGGTTTCTAGACAATGGTTCCTGGAGGGGGAGCCAAATGCCTCATCTTCACAGCCTACCTCACAGTAAGTGTTCAATAAATGTCTGTCTTGGGCGGTGCCTGTGGCTCAAGGAGTAGGGCCCCAACTCCATATGCCAGAGGTGGTGGGTTCAAACCCAGCCCTGGCCAAAATCTGCAAAAACCAAAAATAAATAAATAAATAAATAATGTCAGTCTCCCTGCTGTCTGTCTATAGGCCCCCAGGGATGCAAATCTTGCTTGTGTAATGAAAGACCCTTGACTCCTTTCATCCAGCCTCCCTTCTCTTCAGGGAGGGCTCAGGGATCCCAAGTGTCAGTGTGATCTTGTCCTGCCTGCTGTATTGTGGTGGGAGGCAGAAGAGGTTCAGAGTGGGTAAGGGGCTCTACTGCTGGGTCCATGTTAGGTGATGTTCTTTCTCGCGGGGAGAGGACGGCTTGGCCACGGGTGCAAGCTCGCTCCTAGAATTGTTTAAAAGCAAGAAATGACTACACACTCTTAGTTGGCATGTAGCAAAATGTCTTTATTTTCCACTCCTCCTTTTTGGGAGCCAGTCACGTACACCACATTGATCAATAATCCTAACATCCTCATTTCTTTTTTTTTTTTTGTAGAGACAGAATTTCACTTTATGGCACTCTTGGCATCACACAGCTCACAGCAACTTCCAACTCCTGGGCTTAGGTGATTCTCTCGCCTCAGCCTCCCGAGTAGCCGGGACTACAGACGCCCACCACAACGCCCAGCTATTTTTGTTGTTGTTGTTGCAGTTTGAATGGGGCTGGGTTTGAACCCACAGCCCTCGGTATATGGGGCCGGCGCCCTACCCACTGAGCCACAGGCACTGCCCCAACATCCTCATTTCTTATTTTAAACTATAGAAAAGAAAGGGCTCGGCGCCTATAGCTCAACCGGCTAAGGCGTCAGCCACGTACACCTAAGGTGGCGGGTTCGAATCCCCAGCCCGGACCCGCCAAACAACAATGACGGCTGCAACCAAAAAATAGCCGGGCGTTGTGG